TGAGCGGGAACCGAACTCGGGGTCTCCGGGTTCGAAGCACGGCGGCGCTAACCGCTACACCACCGCTCCCCACACACAAAGAGAGACGCACAGAGACTCCCACCAGCGAGACAAAGAGACAGCCAGAGACCACGCAGAGACACGAGCAGGAGACGCGGAGACGCACGCGAGCTGCTGCTGCTGCTGCTCCCGTCTCCGCTGCCCCGCTGGGCTGCAGCGGGCATCGCATTAAATTACGACGGCGCTTCACTCACGCGCAGCAGCTTCTCGCTGCCATTAAAAATGACTCCAGAGCACATGTGCAGACTCAAACAGTTACAACATAAAAGGAGGAGCAGAGTAGAGGAGAGGGAGGAGGAGGGGGGGGGGGCACCAGTGAGAGGGAAAGGATGCACGGGGAGGAGAGGGTGGCGGTGGGAGTTGGGGTAGGGGGGTTGTCGGTGGTGGAGGAGGAGGGGGGGTGAAAGCAGCAAAAAAAATAAAAATGAGGGTTGGCGAGAAACAAATTGATTCGCGTGCCTCGGCTGCCGTAAATGGAGCTGCTGGCTCGCATCACTACACGTAAGACGCAGCGAGATGGGCGCGGGGAGTCGTTCCGTCATAGTTCGCAAACCCTCCTCGCTATTAGTGTTATTATTTTCTCCTTCTTTCGCTCTCTACGGTTCTTTCTCGGCGTTTTTATATTTTCAGGGCAGCACTGCCCATCCGCCCGCCCACCCACCCACCCACCCCGTCATTGTTAGCAATGTTTTCGTGGGCGAAGTGGATTGGTAACGCGGCGCTTGCGACCCACTCAAGAGTCCTGGTGTCCCCGTGTGCCAGGCGGTTGGGTACGTGTGTGCGTCTAATTGTAGCCCTGTGTGTGCGTGCGTGCGTGTTTAGGTGTACACTTTGCCCGGGTGTGTGAGTACGAGTGCGCGCTGTTATCTGGTCTGCCTGTGACTGGGGGAATCGGTAGTGTAGCGGTTAGCGGCGCTGCGCTATGAACCCGGCGACCTGAGATTGATTCCCACTCAATGCCAACACCAGTGACGATTATCTCAACCGGTCCTGGGCCTCAAATGAGTAACTAGTGCAGTGCGTAAACATCGCCACTTGGGAGACAAAGGTGGCCAGGCATGGTGCTGGCCACCCACCCCCTCGCGTGCCGTGCCGGCCTTAAATAAGTGCTTGCTAGCAGCACTTGCCCCAATAGTCTATTCAGGCCAAAACGAGGGATCTTTGTCTTTTTCAAGCATACACTTTCTGGGTACATGAGTACGAGTGTGCGTTGTTGTGTGGCCTGCCTGTGAGTATGTGTCGTTGTGGCTGTGTGTGCATGTGTGTATTTAGGTGTTTGGGAACCTCATTTACAAATATATACACACACGTAGTATCACATTTGGTGGAAAGATCGGTCTCTGCGGAGGAGGTTCGTGAAGGACGATACTGGGCAGTTGACGGAAATCATCCTCCAGCAACACCGGAGGGCGAAGGAGTGACTCTCACAACAATGAGCAGAGCGCCGGGCGGCTAAAATGTAACAAGTTAGCACAGTGGGGAGCACAGTTTGTGCATCTGCCAGTCATCTCAGTCGGTCAACCCATGGCCCGGTGACCTCCTGCCAGCGAGCCTTCGACAATTCACGTGGCCTCAAAGGGTACCTAGTCTGGCACAAGTGTCGTAGTGGTGAATGGCGGCTGTCATTGGTGTTGTTTTTGAACACGTCCACGTGTAAGTGAACGTGCGTACATCTAGACGCATGTGCACGTGAACACGCCTGCGTGTACGTTAACATGCGTACGCATGGGCGTGCACGTGGGTGTTCGGTGGGTGTGTGCTCTGAAGCTCACGGCTGTCTCTCATTCGGAACAAGATAAAAATTAACCATCACGACAGCTCCGATTTTTCAGCTGTCGGCAGTTTAGAAACGCATACGTGGAGTTTCGCCGTGAAAAATGTGCTGACAAAAAACATGGCCTTCCATAACCGCCGTATCAAAGCAGCTTTTCTCGACTGTCCCCGATGTCCAAAGTCTTATTCAAGACGGCGTTTGTCAGTGCCCGAGGCTGTGGGCAACTCCTGCTCTCTCAGGAACCAGCGCTTTTCGTCCCGACCGCTTTCAGCGCACAATCGCTGGGAGCCGCGTTTAAACCGACACGCGTTAAAACGCCACACGCGGCGCGGCAATTCTACTCCCCCGAAATCCAATCTTTGAGATTTCATTTTAAATCTCCCCATTATGTGATTCTTCCTATAAAATGAAATTAATCGTAATGCACGTCGCAACAACGTAACAAGCAGAGTTCCGCCCCAAAAGCGAGAAAAAAAATACATTACATGTCTCAGTGATCCTATTAAACATACCGCCTCGGCTATAAACCAGATCTGCTATGGGCTGTCAAAAATCACCTACAGGGAATTAGCTCACAGCTGCTTAACACATAGTGAGCAGGGCAGGTGTCAGACATGATATACTCCAGTATCTCACCCCAAGAATTTGATGTGGGCTTAAAGGCCTCATCAGCTCGGCACTCTGTCCGGCGTTTGGGAGCGAATGTTCTTCCATGATGCTAAGAGCCGCAGAGATTCGGATCCAACGCAATCGGGCCCTGGGTCACCTGATCATGACTTCACGCGCCGTCACCGCTCTTCGCACACTATCTTGCACGACTCCTCTTTCTCCTTACACTCGCTAGCTCGCTCATTCACTCGCTGACTCTCCTCCACCGTGAGGCCTTTCTTAGTTTTCTAAACTAATCTATGTACATGGTAAAGCCCATTGATTAATTCGATTTCTTTCAGAGGTGACCTGGCCACATATGATAGCTCATTGAGGGGGCTTATATCATATGCGGGACTATTTATATGTAGTCAAATAATCTATACGCATATTTCTAAAATGTGGAGGGCAAAACTGGAGGACCCCGAAAAAAGTCTATGTCACCACGGGGAGAGAGAACACGCCAACTCCAAATATACAGGCGTCAAGGACTGTATCAAAACCCACGTCGTCCTGTGTCCTGGGCGAGGGAGATCACGTTTCGCCACCATGGTGCCCCACTTCACCACTGAAGTGCCTTTTCATCATTAATAAGTATAACCCGTAAAAACAAAGTTTTTCACTATAAATCCTTTATATGCGTGGCAGCGAACTTAATATAAAGGATTTAAAAATATATTTGCCTGTGGAGGACGCGGGGATCGATCCCGCGACCTTTGGCATGGGAAGCGAGGGCGCTACCAACTGCGCTACTCCGCCACGGCCTGTGGAGGGGTTACGCTCTGGGCTCTTATAGTGTGACGTTCAGCCAAAGCCAAGAATGAGTTCTATTTGAATATATGTAAAATAAAAAAATTTTGCCTAAAAAGTGTAAAATTTTGGGAATTTTTTTTCACGAACATTAATTGTCTGGCACAACGAGTCTGTGTGGAAAATGTCAGCTCGATTGGATCACGGGAAGTGGGTTAAAAAACGACCGAAAGATTTGCACGGTCCTAAGCAAGCAAGCACGCAAGCACGCGAACTTAATATAAAGGATTTAAAAATGTGGACAGTTATCGCCTTTTCTCAACAAGACCTCAACTCCAAAAATAAAATATCACGTTTTGAATTTTTGTTTTAAAAGGTGTGGCTCGATTAGCTGAATCAAGGTACATCGACTGCTTTAACCAAGTTACTCTTTCGGTAAAGTCACGTATAAAGATAAAATAATAAATTAAATAATAGCATACGACGTTTAATTTATTATTTTATATTTATACGTGACTTTACCGAAAGAACCAAAGAGTAATTCCTGCAGTCACGAAAGCTCCAAATTAAAGATTTAACCAAGTTGTTTCATTCACTTGGTGGATTATCCCCATCTTTGTCAACGATCACGATGGTCCAGACAGCTGCACTTGTCACCGACACAATCACACACATTACGGTGTTCCACAATGTCATGTTGCAAATTTAGAAATGCACAAGGGCAAAATTACTTTCACAGAGTGTACAGGTTTGATATTTTATGCGATGAACACTCTGAAGATGACCACCTTAAATGGCAGCTGTTCACCGCTGATGTGCACTTTTTCCCAGGTTGCCTCGACCTCAAACGAGTTCGCAGCACTGTCACGGCAAAGCGCTGGCTCCCCCCACGCCCTCCGTGTCTGTGCTGCATTGGCCGTAACCTCGCTTAACACAATGTGCTTCACTAATTTTCAGAGGGGGGCCACATTCGCCGATAAGACATCAGTGCGAGGGCCACCACACATTTGAAACCATTGGATTTGACAGAATGATGGGGTCTTTTCACATTTGTGTATTGTTGGGGGGCACACGTCAGAGACCGCACTAAAGGCCACCAGGGGCCGCCAGTGGCCCGCGGGCCTTGCAATGAAGAATGCTGCGCCAACAGCACCCACTCCCTCCTGCTGCTACTGCTGCTGCTTCTCGAGTAGGGATCTTTGACTTCACGTATGGACAAGGGAAGAAGAGCACAAGACCACTCCATGTGCAGGAGTGAAACAAATGGTAACATCGAGTGCAAGGGATTGAGCATGTGGAGGCCTTCATCCAGCAGTGGATAGACAATGGCTGATAATGATGAATATTTTTTTTACAACTGCTTTTTGTATTCAGTTTGTTGTCCTTCCCCCGTACCTCCGATTAACGCGGTTGGCTAAGTACGTTGCAAAAGAAGTTCGACGTGCAAAGATAAAAGACAAAGATCCCCCGTATAGCCTTAACAGACTGTTAGGATAAGTACTGTTAGTGAGCACCTATCAAGGACGGCACACGAGGGGGTGGGTGGCCAGCACCACACCCTTTGTCTCCCCAGTGGCGATGTTTACACACCGCACCAGTTACTCACTTGAGGGTGAGTCGACCTAGGGGAGGCCCAGGACCGGTTCAGACAATCGTCACTGGTGGTGGCCGTGAGCGGGAATCGAACTCGGGTCATCAGGTTCGTAGCGAAGCGCGCTAACTGCTACACTACCGCTCCCCACACACCTACGTCCAGCCGGTGGCTCACCTTCGTTGTTGGTGGTGCCTTCCGGACGGCCGTTCCGCACCGTCTTGTTCCAGCGACCCTTCCTGCGGGCGGCGTGCGGCGACGGGGGAACGTCGCGCCGGCCCGTCGGGGAGCCCGGGCTGAAGTGTGACGAGTCCACAGCGCTGTCGTCTGCGGCACACGCGGTACGAGCCACGCACGCACGTACACACGCACGTACACACAAGACACGTCAGCCGTCCACTGGTCGGCTATAAGAAAATTAGTGGGGCCGGTGTTTGGCTAAGGAGGATGCGGGTACGGCATTGTAGGACTGGCTGGAGGTTCTGAATGCATTGCAAACATTGCCGTTTGAAGTCGCGTGGCTGACCTTGGTGACAAAACCAAACTCATTGGGCAGTGAAAACTTAAAACGGGACTTTGTTATCCTCCATGAGCTTTTTAAATATTGGCAAAAATATACGCATGTACATTTAAAAAAAAACAGCACTGCACAGCGTATGATGAAAAGAAATAAATATAAACTACAAACTGCACTATATGAAGTTTTTTGTTGGCACAAGCAAGCCGCTGCGTAAACACTTTAAAAAATTCGAATGCATTTTTAAATACTGATGAAAACAAAATGTAAATACGAGCAATTATGCCCGCGCTGTGGTAATTTCTGCACTCCGTTTCAAAGGCGCGTGATCCTGCGAAGCGCTGCCGCGTCAAGCTCGAACGTCGCTTGGCGCCCGGCGCTCCCGCAGCTGTCGCCCCCCTCACCCCCCCGGCCAGTTTGCTCACAGCGCGCCCGTGCGGGCACGGCCTCCTCACGGCGGCACTGTCAGGTGCGACGGCCCGCTCGTCGCCGTGGCCGACGGGGCTCAATGGATGTAAACTCGGGGAGGGAGGACGGGGGCTGGCGAGCGTGCGAGCGAGCAGGCGAGGAGGGATGGATGGAGAGAACTCGAGGGTGGGGTGGGGACGACGACGACGTGTAACCGGATAATCTATCCCTTGCTCAACTCCCCCCCCCATCCCCCGTCCCTCCCCGATGTCCCGGTCCCCGGCCCCTGAGGCCGCTCGTAAATAACGAGGCAGCGCCCGGGGCCCCGCGTGGCACAGACGCCCTCGTCGTCGGGCTCAGAGACAACAGCAGCTGTGCTCTCGCGAGGTCTCCAGCTCTCGAATTACTCACTTTTACTTAATATCGCCGTCATACGCCGATACCGATTCAATTATCGCGACTTGAAATGTAACAGTGAGGAACGCGTCCTGACCAAGACTGCTGTGATAGTTGTGACGTTTTAAAATACTCTCAATCTAACGCGGTGAAGGAATACTCACACGAGTTTAGGTCGAGTCTCTATTACACGGTATATATATATGTATTTCACGTCACGTGGAAACCCTCGCTGCAAGTTTTTCCATCCAGCACCTTGTGCGCTGGTAGTTCCAAATACAATTGTTTACAGCAAAAGTCGTCGACGCACGACCCGTGTCGAGTTTGCTACTCGCCCGTGCGCCACGCGTCTCACGTGCCCCACGCGTCCCGGGCGCTGTACAACCAGCGGCACGACATCGCCACGTACGGAACACGAGGCATTCGCGCCGCGATTGAGATGACAACAGCGTTTGACCCGCCTGCTCCTCAGTAATTACCCGACACCACTTAATCTAGTGCTCCATCCCTCCGGGTGCACTGAAGAGCGTCAGGGTCGCGGGGAGTGCGGTTGTTGGTGGGGAGGCCGGTTTGGGGGTGATGGGGTGGCGGTGGGGGGGGGTGTTGGGGGGGAGGGGGGTGGGCTCTGTCACGGAAAAAGAGAGATGCCCTCATTACCGCAAAAGTTTGAAGACCAAATGAGCCATCAGCCATGGCAGCGCCGGGCCACCTAGACGCCCTGTGCAGCAGCGGCTGCCCCAGTTTAATTCGCTCTGTGCAGGAAGTGACACGACGGCAATTGCCCCTTCACCACAATCGAGTAATTTTCTGATGCCCCAACCTCGTTTTCGTTTTGTTTCTCTGCCTCTGCTCTACGTGAAATGGAAATGCACGCTCAGTTGTCCTGAAACAAAAGCACCACGAGCCTCAATTTTCATTGCTCAATTCCGCATCCCAACGATTTGCCCACGTACTTTGCAGATTAGGTAGTAAGAGCATTTTCTGCTTGAAATTGTTGATATTGAATGTCTCTGAAGATTATTCACAGTACCCTAATGTTATATATAGAGTAAGAAATTAATTAACGTTTTAAAAAGATATATATAGTCGTGAAGCTCCGCGTGTTATTTCAAAATACTTAGCAAAGTGAGCTTTAATTGCGTATCCTACAAATAGAGCACTGTTTAAAATATTTTCCCACTCAACGATACTGACGATACTCATTTGATGCCGTTACATCTATTTACTATTTTATAAAAGCTGCTTTCGCCGTGCGAGCATTTCTCCATCGCTGAATGAAGAAGCTCCTGCAAATAACGGAGCCGGAAAATTGCACGCGAGTTAATTTTCTCAGAACAGAATCAGAATATGTATTTATACTGGAGGAATCCGATGAGCTATGAAGCTCATTTTCACAGATGCCCTGCAAGCGCTAGAACTCTAGCGGTTACAGGAAAAGTCACGGACGGATTTTTTTTTTTAAAGAAAACCCCATTAGGAAAAGGATGCCTCCTCCCCCCCTGTTCTACCGGCCTAGCGCCCGACTCTGTGCCGCCATCCACCCACAGTCCACGCACGTCCCCAAGCTCCCACTTACACAGCAGCCCCTCTCTCCAGTCCTCAGCCCCGCCGCACCCCTCCCCACAGCTCCCCCCCCCCCCCCCCCCGCCTGGTTTTGGCCCTTCTACGAGTTGAGGGTAATGAGGGGGATCAAGGCATTGGTGATGGGATTAAATGGACCTGATCAAATCCCTTCCCAAATTACATTCCAGATAATTACAACCCTGATAGAGCCGACGCTAATTAGATGGGTCTTCATATTGAATTCCGAACCCTTAACCAGGTTACTCGATATTACAGTGTTCCTTTGCCTGACTCGCGGAGACTTTGCGCAACAGAACAATCAACCGCCGTCTCTCGCTTTACCTTTCTTTCTTTTTTAAAAGAATCAAAAAAGGGTCAGCTTTTTGTAGTCAGCTAAAATGAGGTGAAGTCAAGAGACGCTCACGTAAAAAAAAATATTCCCATCATTACCGGTTGTAGTGAAGATACAAGATCAACATGCCAAACGAAAGATCACACCGTCAGTTCTTCTGATGAATAAATCAATTACCGTCTCTGCTTTAAATAAAGCAACCCCCGTACTTTCCTTTGAGGCAACGCCTCTGCCGAGAAGCACGCTTCCTCTTATTACTGCACATTTCCTGCAGGGATTTTTTTTTTGCATCGTGAATTTTTATACAAACGAGGGCCCTGTGAAGTGAAACAAACTGGTGCGAGCGTGCAGGGACCGTGCTCATCAGTTGGCGTGCGGTTACCGAGGCTCTTGTGGTGGTGGAGGTGGTGGCGATGGTGGTGGTGGCGTCGGTGGTGGTGATGGTGGCGGCAGTGATGGTACTGATGATGGCGATGGCGATGGCGGCGGTGGTGATGATGGTGCCGGTGGTGGTGATGGTGGCGATGGCGATGGTGGCGATGGTGGCGGCGGTGGCAGCGGTGATGGTATTGATGGTGATGGTGGCGGCGATGATGGTATTGATGATGGCGATGGTGGCGATGGTGGCGATGGTAGCGATGGTGGCGATGGTGGCGGCGGTGATGGTATTGATGATGGTGGCGATGGTTTTGGAGGCATTGATGGCAGTGGTGGCGGCGGCGGGGGAACGTGGCGCTTTAAAGCGGCACGCCTCCCGTGCATCGCACCAGAAATCACTTTTAATGGCAACACTCACACAGGAGAGACGCGCGCAACGTGGCGACACGCCACGCAGTCTGGAACCCTGCTGAGTCTCCGCAATTTGTAACCGAGTCTCACACGAGAAAGAAAAAACCCAACAAGGACGAATCTCAACTTCACGGGATGGCGGAGATACATTAAGGTACATTAATTCCTGCTAACGAGGATTTTGGGCATGTTTAGTTTGGTTTGGGAAATCCAACCACTTGTTAAAGGTCTCTCGGGGAGAGTCGAGGTGTCACTTCTGTGGAGTGAGCTTGTTGTGCTATGGAGGCAAGATGTCAATTTTAATACCTATTATTGCTTGCACATGAAACAAAGTCATACTGGATGGACAACTACATCGAACCTCGCATTCATCGGCAGCATCTGTGCATTTAACCATCCACTAACTAGTTTTTGTGAACAAATGTTCACCTGCAATGTAGCTTTCACTAAATCTGTAAATGGTGAGAAAAACCCATAAAAAACGAGAAATATTGCATGCTGAGGAAACCACAAATAAAAAAACGCACCCAAAACTGTGTACAAATCACTCAGCCTTTGCGCATGATGCAAAAAATAATACATTTCCTGGAAAAGTGCTTTGTATATCTGCCATCACTGCCGCTGCTATCAGTCGGTCACATTTGCTCAAATATAATTAGATGTACGTATGTCTGTTCAACTTCTTTCGCACCGTACGTAGCCAACTGACGAGAATCACAATAGGATCACAACGCACTTTTTCAGAAAATCCGGATGGTTTTTGCATAACGCACAAAGCCTGAGTGCTTTTGAGACGTTTGTGTTGGTTGTTTGAAATGTAGCTTATAAATTGTCGCCACAACCAGCCCTGTCAGGGGCTCCTCCTCCTCTTGGTGAGAGCTCAAGAGAAACCTTTGGCGTGTTGTTGCCGATCGAATGCGTAAATAAGGTCACACTCATTACACGCAAATTACTTGCCACAAATGAACCACGCTACCTTGCTGATCTCGTGAAGGAGCATAAACCATCACGCGAACTCTGGTCATCCTCGCAACGGCTTAAGGCGAGTCATCAAACAAAGACGGTCACTGCATCGCGCGTTTTCAGATGCGCTTCTGCGGCCGTCTGAAATGCGTTTCCTTCTTATGTTAGGAAGCCACTGGAGTTGTGTAATTTTAAAATCTAGAACTGCTTTATGTGTTTAGTTTGGTGTTCTTCCCCCGCACCTCCGATCAGCACGGTTGGCTACGTACAGTGCGAAAGAAGTTCAACATACATATGTGTGCATACGTGTCACAATTCACACAAGATGCTAGGCCATGGCTCTTGTATACGAACGTGGAATCTAACGGTTCCACAAAGCAACGGGGTGGGTGCCCATGCCAACATTCATGCAAAACCACAATGCAATTCCTGGCGTGTCCAAATTCACACAGCTGCCCCTCCCCTCCTGCTTAATTCTCTAAAATCAATCACTGCATTCCCCAGTGGCAGCTGCACAGATTTACAAAAGAGACACACGAATCACCCTCTGTGGCTCTGGCAAGTTTAAATATTTGATAGAAAAAACAAAACAAGTTTAATGCGATTATATCCAAGCTCAAAGGTTAAGGAAATGAGTAGAGGGATCTGGCCAGAGCCAAACCGTCACAAACTGTGGCGGCCGTTTGCATCCGTGGAACAGAGCCTGTGAAACGTGAGGCCGTGGCGGGTAAGGGAGGCAAACGGGATGGGATTTGGAGAAGATTGTGGTAAGAAGTCGGGGATTGAGGGGTGAGAGGGCTTCGTGGGGAGGAAGAGAGCCCGGGGAAGGGGCCGGAAGCGAGGGCGGACGTAGCCTCACCGAAGACGCCGCCGTCAATCCAGTGCTCGGAGCTGCAGAGCGAAGCGGAGCGCTGGTGCATGGCGAGGCTGGTGGTGCTGGCAGAGCGCTCAGACTGCACTCCTGCAACGAGAAAGAGTGCAACGCTCATCATCATCACCATCGTCATCACCACCATCATCATCATTCCGCAGAGCCCTTCTGCAACGAGCCAGCGATGCTCCTCAACATCGACGCCATCACTGTGTTCTGCCACCACCAGGGTCAGGTGGTAGATGGCATCTTTTCACGGCTTCCTATCTTCCCATCTGCCATCTGTCTCCACAACTGTCCAGTCCTGGTCAGTCTTTTCCACGACACTGTTTTTCCACTTCTTGCATGGCTCTGCCTCTCAGTTTTCTTCCCTCTATCCCCAAATCAAAGGATCATTATGCAAATCAGTTATACAACCATCAGCACATGCAACCGTACCATTTAGGTCTTGCCTCCTCCACTGATGCTTGTCGAACACAAAAAGAAGCGAATCAAGTTTAAGATTATTAGATTTTTTTACACGGATGGTCCCGTGAAGGTCAAGAGGTCATTTTGACAAATGCCCCGGATGCTACCACACCTTGCCATCGATTCCATATTCAATGTCATGCTGAAATATAACCCTCAAGTTCCTCTCCTCAAATATCTTACAATCCAGTTTTAGGTCTTCCCCTTGGTTGCCGATCTCTGGGTGCCACTCCAATGCCGTCTCAGTAGCCTGCCCTCCTCCATCCTGCACGCGTAACCCACCGAACAAAACCTCCTCTTCCAAATTGTATCTGCAAAACGTCGTCACTATGTTCAATTCCTAACTTTCAAGCCACCAACCATATCCTCCCATGAAACTCCTACCAACCTCCGCATGCAACTGTCTTAAACGGCCAGAGGTTTGTTTTCCATTGGTTACAGTCCAACTCTCTGACCCGTACAATAACGCGGAGAATACTCCTGTCTCAAACACCCATCTTTTCACACTTTTGAGGCACGACCAAAGTCACTTTGGAAGAGAAGAGGGGAGGGATAACAAGGCAACGAAATGTGGGCACGTCGTTGAGAGGCACACCACGTGGAAGAGCTAGAACTGGCGTTGGCTGCTGCAGAGGATACACGGGAGGTACCCATCATGCAAATCCGACATGGTAATTCTGGTTGCCCACCCCCTCCCTCCGCTTCCCTTCCTTCCCCCCGCCACCCCTTCTCCCCAGCACGTGGACGTACGTTTTCTAGCGCTGGCCGGCGTCACAAAGTGAGCCTTGAGGAGGGCGGTTGGCAGCGACGGCGAGGCGCACAGCTCGTGATCACCGCGCACATTAGTCAGCCATTTGCGCGCCTTCCCGTTTCGCCGGCGCAGACATTCAAAATGAATAGGCAGGTTTGAACAGCATGAATAATAAATTACCTTTGCGGGGCACTGCGGCGGCACGTTATAATATCCCTTTTCGCGCGACACATGGGTCTGCTCGTGACAGCTTAAGGCCCCCACCGCCCGGACCCCAGCACACGCGGCGTGGCAGCAGCAGGGGAGGCCCCCGCGTAGCATCATTTAGCGTGGGGGGTTGCGGTGGTGGTGGTCGAGAATAGGGAGGGTAATGGGGGGGCAGGTGGAGCAGGGAGGCAGGGGAGTGGGGGATAATGGCAGGCTAGAGCGCCTGGTGACTGCCCATTGGTGGAGTCTATTACTGAGCGTGACAGATACTTAACCCTTTCCTGGCCAAGCGGCCCTCCGCGAGGGCGACTCGCAGCAGACCGACCTTCCTTTCAGCGTCGTGTAAGTGGACTCGTTAGATAAATAATTAGCACGTTCATCCGTGTCGCCGAGTAATGAACTGTGACGTGCACGCCGATCAGAGAGGTTCACTTTCAATCAGCGCCGGCTTCGGTCGTTGGATTTATCTTATTTGACACGAGTGACACGGGGCCCTCGGGGGCCCGGCTGATGTATTGAGCAGGGATAGGGTTACGGATAGAGTTATGGTTAGTGTTGGGGCCAGGGTTTGTCATGTGTTTAGCCATGGCCGTGGCTGAACATTATCGATATGTATTCCTGTAGGGCAGGTTACAAACATTTGCTGGCAAACTGGATGCACAGTGATCCTCACCCCGGAACTAAATTGTGTCTCTTGAAAAGTGCAAAACAGGTTTGTAGAGAGATGGTTTCCTTCAAGCATGTGTCAGCTCATTGATAGAAATATCTCTTTGGTAAGACGAGCTGGGAAAACAATACAAGGAAAAGGAGGCGCAATACACCTACAATATAATCGTCGCAAATAAGCGAAAAAAGTAGAAAAAATACAATGCTGAAGAATTTTGAATAAATAGTAAGGCAATAATCAGTGTTAAAATCTCTGTTTTTCGAATGTTTCATTCAAACGGCAGGAGTGCAATCGCCAGCTAAAGACACAATGCCAAAAATCGGTAAAACAGTCGGAAACACAACGCAGAGCCACAAAAGCCATCGTCTCTGCATCGGCGCTGGTGCCTGCGACGCGCCGCAGTGCCGCGCTGAGCCGCGATGGTCGTTACGCCGCCAGGGGCCGCCGCGGCCGCAAAGCGCCCAGTGCGGTTAACCGACCACGCAGACACCCTGCGATATCTCCCGCTCACATTTATCTTCCCCCACACTCCACCAAGAAATGGCAATTGAATTAACAAACCCTGCACAACGGCCCCCCTCGCCCCCCCCCCCGTCGCCCCCCCCCCCCCCCCCCACTTTTCCCACCGGCCCCCTCCCAAGTTCCAACCGGGACATCCATTACTGCCGCAGCCACCTCAACCGCCCTCCACCACAACAACTGCCCCTCCCCCTCACCTCCCACCACCGCTCCCCACCCCAAAATAAAATAATGAGAAAAAAAATAAAATAATCGGGATCCTAAATCTGCCCCGCTCTTGGGAGGCTGTTAAACCCATAATGAGCATCGAGTCAATCACCTGCCCATCATGACCGCAAGCAGTGCTCCTCACTGCGTCGCCCAGAAATGCTTTTACACACAACGCATTTACTGCAATTTGGGGTCTATTAACACTCAGAATAAATGGGCTGTGGTGAAAGCGTGCGAGCACGGTGCCGGTAAACAATGAAATATGTCATCACGCTGTCCTGGTGTGGCAGGCAAAGTCAGGACATAAGACGCGCTGCTGAGATTTTTTTTATTTGCAGAATGCACACGATCCAATACTGCCTCGTGTGGAAAGATCAGTAAGGGGATCTTTTTTTTATTCAAAGGTATTGTGTCGATGAAGGCCTCTCCGGAGGTACCGTGTCAGTCATGGGGATTGGTTGACCACGTTTCACCATGCTGGTCAGCGCAGGAGAGAGAAAGCGGGCCCAAGGAGAGGTTCAGATGTTAGCTTCGATTGAGAGTGGAACTCCAGATTGCTAGGTTCGTAGCGCAGTGCACTAACAACTGCGCCACCGCACAACCGCGATTGTAAACAATCGGGCCATCGTAACGGTTCTGCTTCAGGGATCTGAAAGCATTGCTGCATATAGTGGGGAGTGTTACACGATAACAAGGAAAAACAAATTTCAGTCCAAAAAATGCCACCGTGACATAAAAATTGCTTAATATCATCGATGAATTCTATAATAATTTCTATAACGATTTTGTAGATTATGCATATTAAATAATATATAATATAGAGTAGGTGTTTTTTCGTTTTGTTCCCAATTTCGTATTCATTGTACGTAAATAGTTGAACAATCACCTGCACACTTGAGAACATACATGTTAATTGTTGTTGACCAAACATTCCTGGATAGGTTGTCATTATAATGAGTATTAAATAAGCTTTTTTTCTTCCAATTGTATAATCGCAAATCATACTTTATAAAGTAGACCGCTAAATGTGGAACATATCTACGATGTAAGTGGCTAATCAGTATGTTTGTATGCAAGTACGTTGTGAGATGGCATTGGCTGGAATTTCTGGGATTTGAACTCAAGACCGCTGGGACTCCAGCTGCTCTACCCACAGGGTGCCATCTCTCAATCTCACTCAAACCAACATATCCAACAATACAACAAAGATCCCCGTATAGCCTTAACAGACTGTAGGGGCAAGTGCTGTTAGCGAGCACCTATGAAGGCCAGAACGGTACGCGAGGGGGTGGGTGGCCAGCACCACGCCCGACCGCCTTTGTCTCCCCAGTGGCGATGTTTACACACCGCACCAGGTATTCATTTAAGGCTGAGTCGACCTAGGAGAGGCCCAGGACCGGTTCAGATAATCGTCACTGGGCGGGAATCGAACCCGGGTTGCCAGATTCATAGCGCAGCGCGCTAACCGCTACACTACCGCTCCCGACATCCAATACACACACATACACACAGTATATACACATGATGCACATCATCATTATCATCGGCCACGATCTAACCACGGCTGGATGAAGGCCTCCCCAAGCCGTCGCCAATGCTCACGGTCTCGCGATGCAACAATCCAACCAGCTCCCGCAAACAAATACTATTTCGTCGATCCGTCTCCACGGTCAATGTTTCCCTCCTTGGGCTGCTGCTCCATCATCAGTCTTGACCACTATCCCTTCTGGTGACAAGTCTTGCCCAAGCCCACTTCCTGTCTCTCAGTGTCATTCCAAGCATGCTTCTTCCATTGTCCTCGTCACCGTCAATGTCTCTGATCCGTGCGTCACAGCAGGTGAGGGATACACCGATTCATTTAGGTTCTTATTGACATGTAACGCTCTTTTGTCAATCCACTGCTGGATGAGGGCATCCACCATCCTGTGCGGTCACGGGGGGGGGGGGGGGTATATTCCACGCATACATATGCGCATAACGCAGCATGCGCCGCTCTTCGTGATGCAGCGAATGTTGAGTCACGTACAGCGACGCACATTCTCTGACACGGTCCTTCTGGGGTGTTGCCACGGTGCTCTCCACACCCTGGAGATCCACATGGGCCCCCCCCCCCCCAGCTCCCACATCTCACCGCTTACCACCAGCACTTGCTCTTGCTCTAATCGGCGGCCGTGTAATTGCGGCCCACAACGACGCACCACAGCGCGCGCTCTCTTACATCTAAAGATCTCCCTTCAAACGCGATTCCGCGGATTACAAAAACCCAAAAAAACACAAAACAGCATCACTCATTAGCGATGATTAAAAGTGCGCATCCTTTAAGACGCTAGATCCGGAATGTAATTACTGTCGACCTCCGAGCTCCATTTTCGATCAAAAATGCCAGTCCACGTCAATTAGCAACTAATCACGCTGTTGTTTTTCCACCCCCCCCCCCCCCCCGTTTCTCAATAAATTATCAAAACCTTAACACGGCTTTCAGTTCAGTTGCTGTTTGTGCCACGCTATTAGATGCAGCATGAAAGTCAGCACTGATGTTGAATTTGGAAGGTGACTCTTGAAATGTGCACACAAACTAAGATGAAAAAAACCCACTCTAATCAACATCACACGATCATTCTCCATGAGCAGCGTGAGCAATCCATAACGAAACCAATCAGCCAAATGCCAGCTCAAGACATCAAAATACAACCCCCACTTATACCCGCCACAAATTGCAGTTTTCTAACAGGAAGCTGCTAAATGTGCGCTGACCTGAGCTCTGTTTGTCCACGCTGGTATCTTTGTCTGTCCTTTCCCCTTTTACCCTGATTTTCTCGGAGCTCGCTCAACTCAATGCACACAAATCTATTTCCAGGCTTCATTAATTCACTTCTCTTCTGCCTTCCTCTCTGCCCCTCTCTCATTTTCTCTTCCCCCCCCCCCCCACCAGCCTCGGCCCATCCAGGGCGGCGGTAATAAAAGAGGAATCGGAGACACATTAGCGTGTTAAATGCCTTTCCACTGGAGTGTTGCCGTGATGGAACGCATGCCGCCCGTACCAATTATCTCGCCATCTCATCACTCCGAGCAGTGCTGCTGATAGCTAGCACCGATGCGAGCGCTACCCCCCACTACCCCCCCCCCCCACAAACTACCCGCCTATCCTCCCTCCTCCCCACCCGTGACACCACCAAAACCCTTTCTCTTCCACCTCCACGAGCACTCGCAGCTCCTCCGAAACCCAAGGGCGGCAGCCTTCCAGCTAGCGCGCGATCGTGCCGAGGCTGCCGCCGTTAATCCCTTCGCGCCCACATCACTTCCAAGTGACCGGTTGTTGCTGCCAAGCCAAGGAAAACCACGGGGGGCAGCCGCCTGCAAGCGCCGTCGGAACTGGCGACAATCGCATCTGGGGGGGGGGGGGGGGGGGGGCACGGCTTTCTTTTTGGTTTGCGCGTTGCAGAAAATTAAAACGTGCTGGTACACACAAAGCGCGGCCATCGTCGGGGAGAGAGTTGACGCGTCCACGCGGGCACGGCGAAAGGGTTAATATTCATTGGCGGCATTAGCATTCAGTAACTATAAATATTCAAGCATTCAATTACAGGAAACATTTCTTTTATTATTTAAATTTGGTGGCAGCGCATGCTCAGGGAGACGATGGAGGACACAGTGAATTAACTGCCGGGTCTAACCTTCCCCCCCCACCACCCACCCCAGCCTCCCTCAACCCACAGCCCCCCACACACACACACCCCACACACCCCACATCCCTCACCTCAACAACACTTGCACCCACCGAGCTGGATGCCTGGGCACAACAGGCACGATTTTGTACTCTGATATCTCTCCACAAGTCTCGGGATCCGCACGGTACAAGTGAGACGGCACGTGGGATTACTAAGAACATGGGCAAGCTGGGGGGGGGGGGGGGGGGCAGTGGATTAGTAGGGGACACCACCAGCCGTGAGCCACGCTCGCCCTCCCCTTTGATCCCCACCACACACAGGCACGTGCGCGGTAAACAGCGGAGGCATGCGAGCCGTGCCAAATGCTGCGGCTGGCCATCGAGACCAGAGTGTGAAGTTCACTCCGATTTAATGGCTGCTGCTGCTGCTGCTATATTAGAAGCTGATAAATGCAGGCAACCACATTCCCTACGTCAAGTGTATGTGATTAAATTTTTGGAATTGCAGTTCTTAGGTTACATATTGTTGGAGCGCTCAGGATTCAAATATGTACAAGTGTAGGAATGTTGTTAACAGAATTATCTGTTTCAGTACACAGATATTACGTAAAAATTTTGTTCTAATTTTTTCAATCGCGATTTCTGCCATGCTGCTAAAACACAAATGTTGGCTTATGGATGACAGGTGTACATCATACTAACAAGGTTACCCTTTATAGCCTTAACAGATTATTGGAGCGAGTGCCGTTAGCGAGCAACTATGAAGGCTGGCACGGCACACGAGGAGGTGGGTGGCCAGCACCACGCTAGGCTGCCTTTGTGTCTCCATAGTGTGGATGTTTACACACTGCACCAGGAACTCTTTAGAGGCTGAAGCGACCTAGGGGAGGCCCAAGACCGGTTCAGATAATCGTCACTGGTGTTGGCCTTGAGCAGGAATAAAACTCGGGACGCCGGGTTCATAGTGCAGCGTGCTAACCACTACTCCACCGCATCATACCCACAGACATACACACACACACACACACTTTGTATGCGTGTACGTACAGAAGGCACAAACATGTATGCACGCTTACCATATGCGCAGTCTAGCAATGCTACAAAATGGAAAGTTTACTTTCATTCATGTGACTTGCATATCTAAATCCTGCGAAAAATATCTCCTCTGTCATCTCCGCGAGTTCACAGATTGAAGTTGCGAAAAAGTTTTCACGCGACCAAAAGAAAGTGCGCGCTGCCTCTCTTCAAACGAGAACGAATTAAACACTCGAGCGCTGCCAAAACCACGACGCGACATTGTGATTGCAAGTCGCGTTGGCTCCCACCGAAGGATCACCCCACGAACCCTCCTGGCCTCAAATTCCAAGTGGAAACATGGGGAAGAAGCGCGAGCGCACACCTCGGCGGTGCGGGGAGAAAACAAGCTCCGATTCCTCGTCCAGGGAAGAAGGCCGTAGTTAATACCCCACGCACACGTGGCCCCGCCACCTATCATTACCCTGCTATTAAAGGGAGCAGCCATTTATCATGATTGAGGCCGCAATCACTCCACATTATGCACCTTTCTCAGGGGTAAACGAGCCTCCGTACGATACCCCGCCCCCTTCCCACTTCTCATCCCGCACTCTGTCTTGTCTGCATTTTTTTGTAAGATTATGAATGTATCTTGATTATTTATTATTATTTTTGTTCACTAAGCCTTGCCCTTGCCTCCTCTCCCTCCTTGCTCCTGCCGTACCACCACAACTCTTCCACCACCTCCTCCTTCTCCCCCTGCTGCCCCGTCCCTGCGTTACGGAGCCGAACGTCCCTAAACGAGGCGCGTGCGATCAGTGGCAAATGAACATCGCCGTGTGGCACGGGAGGCATCCCTCACGCGCGGTAGGACAGTGACTGATTACGCCGGAGCGGTGGATTGCCTCAGCGCCGTGCTTGCACGCGCGTACGGGTGAACGAACACGGGCACACGCTAGTGCCACGTCAAATCCGGCGCCACGGCCGCAAAGGCACCTTCTCAGCGCACGGCTGTCTGAAACGCATTCGTCACGCGGCGATGTGTGCCGATGACAACGGCGCAAGCTCAGTAGTTCTACAAAAAAAAATAACCTGTCAATTTAGGACAAAAAAAATCGTTTGCAGGATGCGCTTCCCATGTCCCGCCTAACCTGAGCCACTCGTTACGCAGCGAGAGTGACTGTCGGCTGAGGGTTGTAATTTGAGGCTCGGGTGAACCTGTTTCTTGTTGTTAAGTTACTGCGCAGCCGACAGCGTGTCCTTACGAGGAGCACGCCCCTGCCGAAACGAGACAAGACCGCAACGCCGCTGTTGCGCAAATGGAATTTACGTGGCCATCACGCATTCCTCAGCTGTAATCGCCGCCAAATACAGGCCACCTAACTCGGCGACAGACGCACGACTGGCCACTTGCCCATTAAAGTTATGGTGAGACAGACATTTGAAGGATGGTAGGAAAGGGTTGACAAAATTACTTCCTCGTTGTTTTTTAGGCATGTGATGATTCACCCCTCTGGTTATTTGCTGAACTGTCACGATCCTGGGTAGCAATTGGATTCTTTTTGTCACATTTTTACTGACTCCTTTGTATAGTTTATTCTATTTTTTTATTAACCATCTGTACAGTTTTGTTTGGGCCGTTAACATAACACGTAGCAATGTCATATAATATATGTAGAATTTTCACAAATTTGAAACCATCGATGGACAATTCGATCCATGTACCGTGAACAGAATCGACTTAATTTATGCTTTGTTAGGCGCTCACTCGTTTTTTAACACGGCCTGCAGCACAGCCGTCCTAAGGGCGTTCTGTGCCTCTCACGCGCTCGGGATAGCTGGCGCGCAACATTTCGTGAACGAACAATGGTGACGATAACAACCGCGGTGGCACGGGGGGGGAGAGACGGACGGACACGAACCTCCATTGCCAGAGATGTGCATGCCCCCAAGCTCCCGGCTGAGCTCCGCGGCGCCGATGCCAGCGCCGCCGCTCGCGCAGTACGAGTTGCTGCTGGCGCTGCGCGAGTGCACGCCGTTGCTGCCGCCTCCGCCTGGCTGGTACGGCGCCGGGTAGTAGCAGGAGGGCAGCGTGGGGGCTCCCGCCGCGGCAATCGACACGGGCGACGAGGGCGTCGACGAGCAGGCCCCGAACGCGGCCTGCACGCCGGCGGGCGACACGCGGTGGCCCGCGCTCGAGCCCAGCAGCTGCTGCAGGATGGACGTCGATGGCAGGGACGAGGGGCACGCGGAAAAGGCGGCGGAGGACGGCGGCGCGGGCGCGCCGGGGGGCGCCCGCCCGCACGCCGCGCCGTTGGGCTGCGAGCCGGAGGCGGCGGTGTGAGGGCGGGCGGCGTGCGGAGCGTGCGCGCCGGCCTGCGCCGCCTGCTGCGCGAACGGCGAGGAGACGACGCCGCCGACGCCCCCCAGGCTGCTCATGCTGGAGGAGGAAGCGCGGGGCGGCCGCTTGCCCGGAACCTTCACCGTCGTCCGCAGGAGGTCGATGGCCTTGCCGTGCACGTTCTGCATGTAGTCCTGCCACGCGCACCGACCGCCATCGTTAAATGGAAGAGTAAGGGCGTCCTCGTTTTCGCGAGGCGAGACAGGGAGGGAGCGTTTCACTCGCCTTGACCGCGTGGCGTTTTGCGATTGCTGATCTCAATGCTCCCTCGGCAGCTCACTGAGGAGTGCCATTTGAAGGCATTTCAGGGAAGAAAATGTTTTATGATGAGGGCACTGACATTTGATGACATAGAGAAGACAAAACATATGAAAACATTAAAAATACCTACAAAGATCATATTTACGATACCTACTGTTTTTTTGTGTGTGTGTGAAAAACTAGAAGTCAATCTAACCCCTCTTCTTCTTGTCTGCTCACGTTTACATTGCTGTCCCTTTTCTGGACAGATCTAAGATTTGCGTTGCCACTTGTCCGAGCTTGTTTAACCATCCTCAAGAAACCCCCCCAACCTCCTGAGACCCTTGCATTGGGACACATCGTTACGATTACTGATCCTTGCGTGGGCTTATTTTTTACGCGGTAACGTCGAAAACGTCAATAGGAAACCCAGAAGAGAAAAGTTCTAAAATCAACATCAATCAAAAACCCAACGGTGAGGTGCCCCTTTTGTGCCGCACCACAAGAAAAAAGTATTTTACACGCGCAATTAAATTAGTAGGCACAGTCAATGTTGTTGGGATAAACAAGTACGGGCTTGATAAATACAACCACTAAGGAGGTATCTTCCACGGCAAAAAAACATAACAGGAATCCCAGCATGTTGTGCGTACCAAGATGACATCATCATTCATTCACTCTTGAACACAGCATGGTTGTCTTTGTAGCCGAATTCTGGTATCGGCGGCCGTGCTAACGATAACGATGGCTATGCGTCGTCGTGATCAACGCCTACGAACGCCTCTCAAACGCACAGCCCGAGGAGTTCACGGAGGATGCGCATCGGGAGAGTAAGTACCTGTGATTGGTTAGTTCCACCAACTCCAAAAAATCACTTTGCCGCTCTTGAAACCCAGTGCTGCACATAATGAATCAGTATTGAATAAGTCCTGCCTGACACTGGGCTTAAACAAAACAGCGCTCTAAATGGGTCTCTTTTAGTGGCTCAAGTGGAGCAAGGAGAAACACGTTGTGCTGTTCTCCTGCCTAGATTCAGTATCTCCCTCCCACATCAGGGGTGGGAAATTTTCATCATCAATCATCATCGTCGTGAGCCATGGTCAATCCACTTCTGGATCAAGGCCTCCCCAAGCCGCCACCATATCTCACGATCCTGCGATATGATGATCGACCATGTGGCTGCGCGCAATCTGATTTGATCACTTCATCTCCGTGATTACAAACTCTCACCTCTTATTTACCAAGGGGCCACATGGGATTTTCAAATACCATTGACCAGCAACACATTAACGCACACCTTAGCGTTATCTAATAATGACGCAAAAATAGTTAGGGCTAACCTTTACACCAATTAAAAAAAAACGATGCCTGCGCCTGATTTTTTTGTCACGAGCAACGTCCGCGTTAAGATTCCCCTCTGGTGCAGCGAAGATGCTCATGGCGATGGCTCAATGCCGCTTGTGGGCCGTTTCAAAGTGGTAGGCCTCATGTGGCCGTGGGCCGTATGAAACAAAGTTGGGACCGTGTCCGGCCCATGTGCCGTTGGGTTACCCGAGTCCTGTCCTATACGTGCACGGTTCCCCTGTATCACCAGCACTGGCTTTAACAACATATATATTTCCGAGCTCTCTCTGATCTTACATTTACAAGCAAATTTCTTACATTGGCATGCTAATCTCTCTCAATACAATGGCCACTGCCACAGCTTCGTTTGTCAAGATTTCTCTGATCTTACATTTACATGCAAATTTCATCTCTAGCCCCGCCCACTGACCCTTGGACTACACCCATCTCAAACCTTAGCAGCGCTCCCGCCATATATTTTTCCTGCCTCAGCAGCTCTCCCGTTATATTTTTCACCTGATGACGATTGCTTGTGTTGCAATTTAAACGTAGTGATTTTGTTATTATTTTATTGATTTTCTTATTTTTCTATCTATGTAGCTTTACCGAAAGACCCAAAGAATATGAATTCCTGTAGTGTTATCGAATGTATTTGTTGCCAGCCGGCATGCACCGTTCTGTTTGCGATGGGTTTTCTCAGCATCCATTGATTTAAATCGGTGCCGGCTTGTTGAATGCCTGGCACGCAAGGTTTGGTCGCAAAGTGAGAGCTGCTCATCCCCGTGTGAATGATGCCATTTTAAATGAGAAACTCCCAGCCACCGTGACCTCTTGACAAGGTTAGTGACACGACCATAGTGAATTGCATTTTGCTTTTGTTTTAATGTTAACTTAATTTCGACTCCTTTAGGTGCCATTAGAATAGTATGTACAAGGTACAATGTACAGCCCTTTTGTTAATTAAACTCCAACACTGTGTTGATATAAAAGACCATACTTCACCACTCTGATCAGTGCAGACTGACAGTGTGGAGAGGCCCAGGACTGGTTTGCAATAATTAATAATGCAGCAATAAATACAAATTCACATCAAATTTACCCAACATTCATTTATAACAAAAAATAACAAGTGTCCGCGTACGGCATGCAACTTTACGCGCTTTTTATCTATTTCACGGGGAGATCACGGAGCCCAATTAGTTATGAATTTACCGTACTTGACCCAGCGTGCAGCACTGCTATTGTTTTTGTTATTGAGCGAGTCATTAGCGGGGATTAGTGACTGTGGAGACAGCCGGCGTTTACTGGAGCTAAAGCACCAGGTGGTGGGGGCAAGCCTAGCCTCGCCATTACGCCTTTGAGCACTTTCAAACAAACACTGCCGGGTCTCTTGTGACTCATTTGCAAATAAAATGCCACTTCAGCGATGGCCTGGCCTTGCTTTCCAGATTCCCAACCCGAGCTCTGGGACTCTCTCGATAGCCCGAAAAATTAGAGAACCATCCCCTCTCCCGCACTCCAACCAGCCCAACAAAAAAAAAAACAATCAGTACCCCGAGTCAATTAGCGGCGAGCTCCTTGACCCGGACATTCCTCGTGTGCGGCAGCACGAACCTTAACCGTGCCACGCGAGAGATTGAGAAGAAAAAAAAAACCCCAAAAAACCCATAACACGAATACCGCCGCTAATGACAAATAAGCAAAAATAATTCGTGAAAAATAAACGCGTGCGTCGCACACGCCAGCCGCGACCGCGGACACACGGGTGCACACGCTGCGCCCTAATTGAGTTGTGTGGAGCTGCCATCCATCTCATTAGGCGGATGAATATGAATTTTGCCAGCCGCGCAGCCATTAACGCGTGTGACCGAGTTACATTCAATTAGCTTCGACAAACATGTTAATTGCCGCCGCTGCACTAATTAGCGCGGGGAGGAAGGGAGGTGGCGGGCGTCTGCTCCTCAGGCTGGATCAAGTGCGGAGCGCGGCACCACCCTCTCCCCCCCCCCTCTCTCTCTCGTCTCCTGCCTCGAACGCCCCCCCACCACTACCAACCTCCTTCCCTCCCCTGGCGAACCCGCTCCCCCCACCCCGCCTCCACGTGCTCCCGCCTCTCCGCCCGCACCCTCCCCGTGCCGCCAGCCAGCCTAACGAGCTTAGTAGCGCTGTCTCACTCGTCGCGGCGCTTCCCAGCGCGGCAGCGCGCAAGGGCACGTGCCGCTCTCTCGCTCTCTCTCACTGCTGCCGCGGCCGCAATCCCCGTACTGCAACCAACGCAGCCCACGCACGGCGCTCAAATCGACAAACTTACAAACGGTGCTCTTAAACCCACTGGAGTAGCTCGCGAGTGTGCAGGCGGTGCAACTGCAATAGGTGCGCACGGGCCGGAGGGGCCCAGGTGCTGGGTGGGGGGGGGGAATTTGAACAGGGGCAGCCCAATTTAATTCCTTGCACCCAAGGATCATGCTAACCATGCGGCAGTCGACTCGCTCAGCTGGGAACGCAAACATCTCCCCATGGTCGTTTGAGGGTGCTCTTGCTCATGCTGTGGTCTCAGCGGCATCGCTTTGTGAGATCGCGAGTTGGCAACGAGATTCATTTGTAGATGAAAGAGGCTGCCTCGTATAATTTAAAAGTGTTTTGTTGGAAAACATGAATGGCATCTGGTACTATGTTGACAGGTCAAATGTGGGACCCTGTCATCAATAAAACAAACTTCTACGTGTTAATTTGTATTTTTTTAAAGCTATCTTGTGAATATGTACTATAAATATATAATGGTATGGATTATAATACTAATACTAACATTTAGTTATCCCGGGAAAGCCTCACTGAATCTTGAAGACTATTTTTCAGGAGGGTCCTGCATTGGGGTGTTTGGCCAATTCCATGGTTGATAATCGGAAAAAAAACGGAGAACCTGGAGAAAACCGACCACGCATCGGAGGGGTTGGCACTCAGCACCGCCATCTCCTGGTCACGCCTCACAGGCCCACACTGACAACACCTGGCAAACCTCTGGTACTAACCAGGCTTAAACCTGATTAGCTTTCAAGACAACAAGATGTGGAGCACGTAAGGTGATTTAGTCATCGGCAAATGCGTGAGATTGGCGAGGCCCTATGGCTTACCTGCAGGCTGGGGTGGTAGGTGAGGGTGCCACTGTCGCAGAGCGTCACATATTTTTTCTTCCACTCCTTATTGAGAGAACTGCTGCTCCTCTTCATCAGGAAACCCTGGACAGACACGACCACATACACAACAAGTCTAAAACGCATGCACAACACAGCCACCGGCCGGTATTCCAGCCATCGCGATCACTTCCATTTCGCTCCTTGTGCGAGCAAAGCCATTAGTGATTGTCGTAAAAGTCACACCAAAAGTTCATGTTAAAAATCATTCTGTAACCACAATTTTCACACGACTGGCCCAGCCAGCACAGTAATACCAGCGTCGAGACGAATGGCCTTCGTCATGAGCATACGTACCTAACGTGCGTACGCACACACGTGGACGCGCGTACATACGTGGAGACACAGCCAATTACTCATGGTGTCAAAGGCGACCCATGCAGGGTGGAGGCAATGACCCCGTGTGATCAATACCCCCACAAATGAGAACTAATTAAAGGCGATCCCCTGAACAAAGGTTTGGGTGATCCTTCATTCGGAGGGACACTTTGTCGAAGGATGCGCACATCTCGGCGGCTTAGTGTTTCTGCGGGCGGAGGTAGGCGAGGGGTGAGGCCTCTAAGCCGAGATGGCATCTTCTGCCCGGCGCTTATAACGCCGGAATGATGGCGGGATAGTATATTCGCTGTGTGCTTCGTTCAACTTTTCATTTTCTCACGAGACACGCGCAGAGAAGAAACGATGACAAGATTACGTTACAGGAGGCGGTCGCCGCACTTCAGAGTTGGCGAAGGACTATCGTGCGTAAAGGTCATTAAAAGTGATCGGTGTGAGCATGAAATACAATTTGTGTTGGTGGGCTGGGTTTTTTAAAAAGTATATTATGTTAATGATGCTTCAGTGAGGTGTAGCGTTAACATAATTTATTGCTGTTCTGTGTGCTGCTGCTACTTTCATAGGCACTGCGATTTATCTGTGTGTCCCTTGCCCATATATCAATTTCAGCTCTTCCCAGCAGTCAGGGGCTCGAGATGACTTGCTGATGAGCCCTAATTAGAGCGAGGTGTGTTCATGTCTCAAAACTGCAGAGCAGCTCATGCATTTCTGGATATGGATTAAGTGGTATTGGGTCAGCAAGTAAAACAAACGTTTTTTTTTTTTTATAAAATATTATTATATATTTGTCGAAAAAGCCAATATATAATATGCTTCACCCAGAACCTACAGTTAAGATGCAACTTCATCGTTTTTTTGTGTGCCCTTGGTCAAATAGCATTATACGCAAAACAGTGCAACAGCAGAAGCGTAATATGTTTGACATTACTCACGAAAATAATTAGATTAAAACTATTTATTTTAACTTGCAGCCATTCGTCAAAATCCACTGTGGATGAAGGCCTCACCACACCATGTAGTCCGTGGCGATTGCTTGATCGTATTTCACCACACTGCTCAGTGGGGGTTTGTGGAGTAAAACGGTGGGGGGGGGGGGGCAGAACCGGTTCAGACGTCACCCACCCACTGATGTTAGCCGCGGCCGAGAATCAAATCTCAGCTCGTCAGGGGGCATGACAAAAAAACGCGTCAAACGCTTAAACTGACTGAGCAGTTTTCGTCCTCACGAAAGGTAACAACTGTAAAACGTTTAAAGATTCAAATGCCCCACTTACACAATCGAGTGGAAGTGTCACGTTTATTCCCATTCTTTAATGTAATTATCAATACCCGAGCCGCTGCGTGCGTAGATTGTCAAGCCCCCCTCCCCCCCCGTATATTATCCCTAATTGAGATATAATAAAGTAACATAAAAAAAACACATTCCTTTGGCAGTGCTCTGCAGATCAAAGGGACCACAATTACAGCCCACGCTTACCCTGGCCAAGCCATTCCTCCATCAGCCCACAACCGCCCACCTCTCTCCCTCAGCCCCCAGAAACCCTTGGGCACCAGGTTAATGGCTGCCACTTAGGGGACACACGAGAGACAAAGGCGTAATAGGAGGCCCAAGTGCTAGGGCCACACTTATCCCATTTGCATCTCATTCTGCCCGGGCGGTACTGCCTGTGCCACTGGTGACATACCTCCCCCAGGGCAGGTTCTGCCTTTTGGAACGGTAATAAGTAACAGCCGCAAAAGACAAGGGCTTGTGCGTGTTGGCGCACGTGTGTTGCTGCCCGCACTACCCCCTTGTGCGCCATTCAGGCCTTCAAAGGTGCTCGTTCACAGCACTTGCTTCAACAGCCTGTGCAGGCTACAAGGGGCATCTTTGTCTTTGTACACGAGGATACACTGGAACCTGGCCATGGCGAACATCGGTGACGAGCGATACTTGAACCGGTCCTGGGACATCTTTAAATGGGTAGCTGGTGTGAGGTGTAAACGTGTAAACATCGGATATAGTGCTGGCCACACCACCCACTCTGTATGCCGCGATGCAACAATCCATCTAACTCTGGCATACGAGTTGATGCGATCGCTCTACCTCCACGGTAGATGTCTTCCCAGAGGTCAATTCAAAATGAGTCCCTGGTATGGGGGGGGGGTGTTCATTTGATGTATGTATGCATGTAGAACTTCTTTCGCACCGTATGTAGCCAACTGTGCTTTATCGGAGATGTGGGGGAAGAACAAAAAAAATAAACACAAAACGCAGAACCAAAAAAATTAGTTTTCAATCGAGATTTAAAAGCGCATAGCTCCAGTGGCTTCCCAATATCGGAAGGAAAAGCGTGCACTTGTTGCAGAGGGTCACGGTTCAAATCCACCAACGGCCCCGATTATGACTACGGGTGTATTCATTGTAAACATTCTACGCGTCGTCACAGTGGGCATTTGCGTGCCGGCATCATGGTCCAAAAATCGACAAATTTGAAATATAACCCACACAAATTAGTCAACTGGGATTACATATAGCTGTAATTGCCCCAGATTAGAGAAACGCTTGGCATGCCCCTCCTGAAGTGTCAAGAAGAGACTCGGTGAGGCTTTACTGGGTCAACAAGTATACAAAAAAATAAGCTAGGCCTTACTGATACGAGTGATGGTGATAGGAGCCATGCTGCCCCATCACGCACTACGTGAGTCTTAATGAGTGCTCGCTAACCGCACTTGCCGTGTCTAAGCGTCTAAACAAGGGGCCCTTGTCTGTGCGTGTGGCAGCACAGAGCACGCTTGTGCTCTGGGAAGGAGTAATTACACGAGGTCCGAGGCCTAGGGCGAACTGGGCCCGGGGATGGAGGAGGAGTGGTACGTGTCCCATATCCCGTTCCATCAAGGTTCATCATCTCCGTCAACGCCCCCCCCCACACCCCCCGCCCCCGGCTGCAATATGACCACCAAGGACTGGTTTGCAACTCGGCAAAATGACAAAAGGGAGTTCAACTACAACCGTTGTGCAATCCTTGGGCTGGGCGTTCCACTGAATTGCGAATTTTGGTTTAAATGTAAATCATTCACAAATCAGTTGATGAGTTTGACTGTGTGCACAAGTCAATAGTGGCTGTGCTAAAGGAAGACACGTTCCCACCATAGGAATGTTGAATTTCCACCGCTGGCTTCGAGCTGTAAACGTAAGATGACCCCCCACATCACTCTCAGTGGCGTGGATGGCCCATGGCAGGCTGTTTTGTATTCCGCAAAATAAATATGGCGGTGAAGCAGTTTTGAAATCACACAGAAAGAAAGTGACCACAATTGCAAACAGGGCCGACGTTCAGTGAAAGCCCTAACACCATAGCTTTGAATTTCTTTGATCGTGTGTTGAGTTTAGCAGTTTACAATCAGCCAGAAGACTGCCACCATAAGTACTGAAGCATACTAATTGCAAAACCCCTAAAACGCTATAGACCCACCAATTTATTCAGAAGCGGCATTTACAAAAAAAACAGGTTACATTTATAAAGCAATAACAAATGTAACAGATGAACGGAGACCATTCATTGGCATCACATACGCAACTGTTGGCAGATATGGCATCTAAAATTATGGACACAAAGTCATAGGTTATATGTTTGTTAATTCTAACATTTGAAAATTTAACATTCTCATTTTCAAGAAAAAAAGGGCAGATATCTTTCTTCTCAAACAACCATCTCAGGAAATGAAATATTGTCACAATGCTTGCTTCGAAACTGATAGAAAAACTTGAATTAAGAGCAGACAACCAAAATATGACGTCTAAGAATACATCATCCACACAGGAAGATTTATCTACAAATCTGGCTGCTGCCTGATGATGTCGGTTGTAATTACTGGCGAAACGTCGTACTCAGATTCTAAATGTGGTGCATTTGCTCTCCAAAACACCGGTGTGCTGTACTAGTAACGAATTGGCATGTTCAGTTTTCATGACAAACCTTACTGGCTGTGTCGGGTGGTGGCGGGTTTAACGACACATTTATTTTTACGCGATCTAACCCAAAGCAACGGGTATTATGGATACATTTTACCGCTATATTTCCCGAAATGCGAACCCATAGATCTAAGTAGCCAGTACAGACAGACTGCAGAAATCTCCATCCTAGGGACATTTCCTATCTGGAGAGATTATCCGACCTAGTGCGCATCCAACCAAGACGGTGCGCGCTGGTGGAGCTAGGTCGGATAATCTCTCCAGATAGGCGTTTGCCACGCGGCACAGGTGACACGAACGTGAGTCCCCACGCGGCGCTGCGGCCGCCACTCCCACCGCCGCCGCTTCCCCTACTCACACAACGGGCTCGCGGCAGCGGAGTCGAGTCGCCCGTCCCGGCGGGACCCGCCACGCCCCCGCCCCCAGTGGAGGGGGGAGGGGGCCGGTCGAATCCTATCGACTCCGTGATTAATTATACCGTTATCTCGCGCTCACTCCAAGAAGGGTGCCCAGGGACCGCGGACCACTCGGCTGTCACTTCTCTTTGAGGTTAGTGGGCTCGGCGGCGGTGGCGTGCGCAGGCGCCCGCCGCCATCTCCAGCCAAACTCCACGTTTCTCACTCGTTTATTCACCGCTTCCGTTACATTTATTGACCAATGAGGGGCACGTTGGGAAATTAACGTGCGCGCTAGAATAATTGAATGCCCTCTCGCCTCTGTTCAAATTAAGGGTCAAAATTAATTTTAAAGAATT